TGTGATAGTGGAGATCTCCTCGAGGTGAGGAGCGGGGACGTAGGTCGTGGGGACCGAACCTCGTGAACATATCGTTTGTTTGTGATTGCATTAACGCACTTGTTTTTATGTTCATTTCTTATATCGCCTTTGTATATTGCTTGCTGTTTATATTACCCACTATCTAGTTTAGATTGTTTACTCTTGTGTTATTTGTATATCCTTGCATATATATCTTGTCACATATCATTTGTTAGGATATATTTGTTAATTAGTTTTAATTGGTATAAAATCGGATTAGATTAGCATAAACCCTATTCACCCCCTCCCCTCTAGGGTTCTTTCCCAGTGGCATTAGGGTCTAACATTGTAGAACCTCCTTCCTGGATTTTTAACAATCATAGAAGTAAAATATTCGCACTCCAAACCACAACTACAAAACTTCATCCCAGATTGCTTTGCTAGATCATTCCAATGTCGTATAGCTTTTATCCCATTGAACCCTTGTTTGCTTCTTCCCATGCTCGTGCTTGACATCGATCTTGAGCGACAGCTTGAAGATGAAGAATCCATCGCTAATTTAAATTCCACTGAACTTAACCCTAACCGTAGGAGGAAGAAGAAGATGGAAGAAGATGAAGAAGAAGATGGAGGGATACGAAAGGAAGAAGAGGAGAAAAACCCTAATATGAGAAAAAAAACCCATTTCGAAGAGAGTAATTCATCCCAACTACCGTCATACTAGATGCCACGTTGGGGGCCACATATGTATCATGTGAACCGTCACGTGAGAAAACTTGTCGTAAAATTGGATTCGACCAAACTTAAGGCCCATTTGTCACCAGAGGAAAATATATATACCAATATGTCGCCGAAAAAATTATAGAAAAAAATTATATGCTAAACTGTCACTAAAGTAAACAAAATATATCAATTTGATAATTTTGCCCTTTTTTTAATGAGCCCTGAACTCAAGAGAGTTTTCCCATATTTTGGAAATTAATGGGGTTTATTTTATAATTGCCGAAAGTTAAGGGGATTTTCTGAAATTTAGCGGAAAAAAGATTGCAGGCAGTAAAATTGATGGGGGTAAAATAAATTCCATATCCAGAAGCAGACGCGGAGCGTTGATAGCAGTCAATGGCGGAAGAGGACGCGGACCCACCTGAGAAATTTCTTCGCTGTCAGTCACCGACCACGAGTTTATATGTATATACTATATTTCTTGATTGATAATTGAATGGGATTGAATTGAATCAGTCCCAGCGAAGAGTGGAGTACAGAGGAAGAAGAAGAAAAAATACCCATCGTTGAGGTGAGGTTTTTCTTAGATGTCATTCTTTTTTTAAATTTAAATTCTACATCTGGGTGAAACCCCTGCTCGGATATCACTCAATTTCTCATAATTTGAAGAAAATCTAATTTGGGTCTTCCCCCTTTGAAGAAAACCATCTATACATTTTTTTTCTTTGAATTAAGGGATCTCGTTGGCTAATGTTTCTTGAGTTATCTTCACTGTAGTATTTGGATTTATGGGTTTCGAAGAAGTAACCCAAATGCCCCAAAAATTTGGGTGGAGAGTAACTCAAATTAGAGATCAGATAGAACTGCGATTGTTTATTATTCTTCTAGATAGGCTACCACACAGGTAGAGATGCATATGACTGGAACTTATTATTTGTTTCGTGGGGGTTTGATGGTCTCAAGATTGAAAGCTATATTGTTGGTAGCGAAATGAAATGATCCTAATTGATTATACATCTGTTATGCCTATGCACCCGAAAAGCTGCTCATGATGAGAGTGGTGTTTAAATGTAACAGAACGGTTATCGCACCTCCATTATGGAAATGAAGTTTATTTAGTACCATCATTCTTGAATCAATGATCTAGCTATGGTTTAGCCAAAATCATATGCTTGATAGGTTCCCTCTAGTTGTGTTAACAGAACGGCTATCTGAATTCATGCGTGAAGCAGCACCATAGCTGTAGGCTATACTAAAATTTCTTCTAGACTTCTACATCATTTTGGGATTCTGGAGCTGTGTAGTGAAAGTATCCATAAAAAAATCCTCTGCTTGCATGTTAAAGACAAAGGCAATAAGTCTCATCATTGTCTCTGTTATTGGTAGAATTTGGAAGATTCTCAATAGAATATGTGGGAATATATTTTCTTTAGATAAAAATCTGCCTGATATGTTGCTTTAAGGAAGATCATTAACTGCATAATATCCACCGATGGGGATAATGTTCTCCCTTATTAGCATAAGTAGTTGGTCCGTCTTGATATACTCAGTGCATATCGATGAATTGATGAGAAAGTTTTTGATGAGAAAGTTTTTGATGATTTTCACACCAAAACCTCCATGAAGAATTTCAAATAGTTATTTTTTAAAAGGGTTTTATAGAATACTAGCCCCTACAATAATCACTTGTTAAATTTTATTCCCTGTTTAGGTAGTTAAATATTATCCGCTGTTTAGGTATTAGTCCCTTACATTGTGGAACCCACCCATTATAAGTCTCTGTTGGTAATGACCTGATTCTAGTAGTATCTTCCAGAATCATCTATGATGAGAGTGGAATGACGAGCATCAACTTTTATTTTGGTCATCAGTAAGAGGATTGGATTTTCCATCTATATTGCTTCCATCAAGGTACCGAGTCATTAATGAGAATGAGATAATATTGAACCACTTTGATTTTGGCCATCTGCCTCCTACCTTTCCATTTACTATAAAATCCATAATTTTTGGGACATTTGGGTTTAGAATCACAAATAATGAATTTGGTTGAAAGAAGGGAAAATTACACATAAACCCCCTCATCTACACCTTTAGTCGCACTTAACCCCTCTACTCATCTACTAGCACTCAGCACCCCTGGATTGTCATCTTTAGAGAGATAAATTGCAAGTAATACCCCTCCTCCTCATGAACTGAGGGAGGCTAAGTGCTTCTAATAAATAAGTTGAGGGGTGTTTAGTGCAATTGAAAGTATAGATGGATGGATTACGAGCGATTTACCCTTTAATGAAAAAGAAATGGGGTTAGCTAATGTTATCAGCTTAGGAATATTATAAACTTGCAGTTTTATAAGATGGCTAGTGCTAAGTATGGTCAATTAATCTGGACAGAAATTGTACTTAGAGAGACTCATAACGAGTGAACCATATATATTTGCAGCAACCAATATCTGCCTCAAACTTTGATTATTTTGGAGCACTAACATCATTGTTTTAAATATCCCCAACATGGTGCGATATATCCTTTTGCAGGACTTGCTGCGACCGGTATGGTCTCTATATATTATTTACCGCTTTTTTGGCTATTTTCGGCTATATATCCCCAATATGGTGATATATCGCTGATGTCTTGGCCGATATATATTTTATATGGCTTATCGCAAAATAATATACCGGTTTGGCAATATTTGCTCGAGATATCATGATTTCCCTATTATATCAAATGATATTTTGGCCTAAAAAATCAAACTAAATGTTGCAACGTAGATTTGTACTTTTGTTTCTTTTACAAGGTTGATTAGTGATCATAAACTTATATTATTTATATTTTGTATGCTTAGATTTCATTAAGTATGTTGAAATTACATTTAGTGCATTATGCTATATTTTCAAACATCTTATATTTACCACATATCCCCTATATTTCCCCGATATCGTCAATCCGATATGAATTTTGGCCATATGATATTTCCCTAATATCCGATATTTAAAACCTCGACTAATATCCCAAAATACCCAATTAAAAAAAGGTTTTCTTTTGTATTTTTTTTCCATTATGTCTTGGGATTTCGGTACTTCTTTTTCTATTGTAGTTTTGGTTAACAACAACTTTGTAGTATCTGCCCCATGGTACCATTAAACAATACCATTAATTTCTGTACCCTACTAAAATTTAGTAGTTCTTATAAGATTGAATGATTTTTCTGACTTTAGATATGTCATACTCCCAGTTTAGCACAAAGAAGAATATGTTTAGACTGTCATTAATGGCATTAAATTTAGTTAATTGGATCTATTTTTCCAACTAGGTGATCATCATGCGAGGGGAACTTGCTACAAATGGAAGGCAGCAAGTAAATGTACACTATGTAAATAGCCCTGTCATTTGTGTAGTTGAAGAAAATTCTGGAAGATATTACCAGAATCAGGTGGGTTTCCTGCTTACTCCAAACAAACTAGCAGCTATTGGATACTTTATAATCTTACTCATGCACAGCTGTAGGGTGCAGAAGCACATTTAGTCTTAAAACTTAGTATCTGCACATAGCTTTGGACTTTAAGGATTCTAAGTCATGCAATTTGAGATAAAGTGGTAGTCAAGCGCATGAATATTTTACCAGTTTTTCTGCACATGGATTTTTATGATTTCAGGATCATAACCAGTTGTTTCCAATCCCTATTTTTAATGGAATGCAAAGTGCTTATAAACTTAAATGCTTTCCCCTGTATAGTTGTTCCTTAGCTAGAAAAATTATGCCCTTGATAGTTTCTGATACCAGCAAACACACAAGAAGAAACAAAACCGGCGATAAACAGTCTAAGAATCAAGAAGCAGTTTTAATAACATAATAGCGGACAACATCATAGCTCTTCAAAGAACTTTTCTCTTTTCTTGTTTACTTGTACTATTTTTAAACTTTTAAATGAAATAAAATGAGAACTATGAAGTTAACAAATAAAAGTAAATAATGTGGTTGAATTAGCTCAAGTAAATCATGTACTTTAGTCTATATTTTTCATTAAGGCTATTGTTGTTTGACATCAGTAGTTAGGTGACAATACGACATGAATCTTATGACTTTTGTTTACTCCATATATTGTGGTAACCTCATTATTTTATTCTCTATTTAGTATGGAATTCTCTTGATGACTCTTTACAACAAATAATGAATTTCATTTCACCCGTTCCAACCATGGAAAAATAAAACTGGAAAAACTACTGAAAAGGAATCTACTACTTTGTTTACATAAGCAAATAGAATTATTGTTTTTATAGAAACAGTCGAACTAATTTACCTAGAACTTCTTCGAGTTCTAATTCTAGAGCTGATCAGGATTTTGGCCAACGCAAGAAAGAAGGGAATTCTTCCGAAACCATGAATGTCGAGATACAGCTAGAAGTAGATGAAGCTTTAGCTAGAGAGTTACAAGAGATGGAGAATCAGTTCGCCAGTACTTCTGTCGGTGAAGCTGCTGGTACAGCATCTGGTAAAGATGATGATTAGAAGGAATAATCAGAATCTTGAAGAATACTTTATTTATGTAATGAAATTTTCGTAACCCACACCTCAAATTTGCTTCTGTTTAAAGATGATGATTAGAAGGAATAATCAGTTTATTTACTCACTTTGTCTCAGATGAAATGAATCGATCTTGGATAGACAGGAAGTAGAACTAACAGAATTGAGCAGATCTTAGAGGAGCAAGTGCTCCCCTGTCATTATTTATGGATTATACATTTTCATTTATTTTTCAGTAGCAAATCCATGGTCATTGCAAAATACACATTAAATATAGTTTAATAAAACTTGGGTTACTTTCACAATACTTCCCTGAACTTTTCGTGTTTGGGGGGTGGGGGGGGGGGGTTGCACATAAGTCCCCTGAACTTTTTTATCTCATATATTCCGCCTGAGCATAGAACTTTAAACTTTTCTCATCAATCCCCTAACGTGTTATTCGCAATAACTAAAAGTTTCCTGTATAAAAGCCCTCAATTGTTTGGTTTTTTTTTTGTTTGAGTTTCTTTTTTTTTTTTTGGGGGGGGGGAGGGTACTCGCCTCCAAATGACTTGCTTTGGGATTTTATTCTCTTAAGAACATTTTAGTTATTTGCAAATTACAGACAGGCAGGGGTCCAATACAATTTAAAGTTCAAGGGGGTTTTGTGAGATACCTCAAAAGTGAAGGGTGACTATGTGAGAGAAAAGATGTTCGGGCAGGAGGGATATGTGCAAAACCCCCTGGAAGTTCTGAGCAGTTTTGTGAAATTAATACATGCAATTATGTAACTTTTCTAGTTACTGAAATGTCGTCATTTGGTCTATCAAGATACTAGCAGTACAGGATCTTCTGTAGGAAATGCAGAAGGCAGTTCTTCTAATACATCATCACAGGTAAAATGTATGGCTTGTCTTTGCCAATTTATCTTTTTTGTGCCACCCTTCATATTGCATACCTGTAACTATGATTTGTATTGCTGCTGTAGGTTGCAAGAGAAGATGATATTGACCCAGAGAACATGACCTATGAGGTAAATTGTATAAGCAAGTGCCATAAGGAAGTTAAATCTTGGTAAATCCCAACAGGATCAAGATTTTCTTATAGCTTTAGGCCCTAGGGTATCCAAATTTTTATGCACAAACTTTCTATTTTTGACATGCATCAAGTGTATACATGGGCAGTCACAATGTTGATATGGGTAGTGTTTTAGTCTCAAGTTCACCATATTGCTTAACATGGGCTAAACCATGTGCACTGAAGACCATTAAATACACTAGTTAGGAGGATTGATAGAATGTAATCAATAGGTTAAGGAGGACTAAAGATAGGCATAAGAGAATTTGGGGAAGCACTTAAGAAAAACTTACCTGAGGAGGTTGTCCTTCACACGAGTATAAGAAAAGGAGTCAATGGCTTAAGGAGGACCAAATTCAGACATAAGAGAAGTTGGATCAGAGCACTTAAGGCGGATATATAGTGGTTATCGAGTGAGCAGATTGTCTTTGCATAAAGTTTTTGTTTGTTTATTTATTGTTTCTGAAACTTGGACCAATGAAAATATATTCCATCGTATTCAGAGCCGATTATGATGTCTGTAATTTTGTATGATCTTCTATTTCTTAAATATATTGCTTCCAAAGGAGAGTATTATTACCTAAGTTGCATGAGAACAGGTACATCTACCGGTATAGGGTGCGCGTGCGGGACACGGGAAATTTGTAAAATGTAGGGTATGCAAACATAGCTACACACATACACATATATTGAAACTAATAATTTGTGTGATATCATTATTGTTTTTCAATTCGTGTGTTATTAGAATTGAAATTACTATCAGACTTTTTAAGTTTAGTTTATTATGTAATTATAAATTGGAAACTGCTCGATTTTGAACTAGACTTTCGAAAGACCCTTTAAACCCATAGCTTTGAGCGTGTGCATGGGTTGAAATGAACGTGGCCCATGTCTAATGAGTTTCAAGAAATGAATGTTCTATGTAGGATATATGTCCATAAAATGTATGACAAGTGTCTTAAATTAAGAAATATATCATACAATTGAGTTTATGTCTGAATAAATATATGCATATATCCAAGGAGCATCCATGAAGTTCCCGTACAAGTACGTGCCTAGTAGATGTCGGGTATGGGTACGGGTAAAAGCTTCATGATAGAAGTACCTTGGTAATATTAGATTATTTCCTAGTATCGTAACATTGAATGCAAGATCATGAGAGGCTACTATCTATTTTCCAAAAACTTGTAAACTGATTTCAACATTAAAATTTGTTAGCCATGAACAAATTAACCTCTAACAAATTAACCCGGCTAAACATATGTATATTGGTGTGAAAATCATGACTACTTGGCTTTTACATGCTTTAGGAAAGAAGTAGTTTCCTATATATATGAAATTTATATAGTCTTACTATGTAGGTAGGCGATCATATGTTCGGACTATAACACGTGTGCATGAAGAATAAGGATCTTTGCCTCACTTTGGAGTTTTTATTGATGCCATGAGCTTGCTTTTAGATATTCAAGGCTCCATTTAACCAGTTCCTCAGTATTTTGATGAGATTAGTTCATTGTTAATTGTATATCCACTAATTTTGTGTTTCCTATTATCACATTTTCAAGTTTCTTTTATTATGTTGATTATTATAACTGGAAACTACTCGTTTTTGAGCTAGAAACCCGAGCGACCCTTTTATTACAAGTTTTGAACGTGGCTATGGGATGAAGCGAACTCGATCCATGTCTAACAAGTTTCAAGAAATTGATGTGAAGTGCATGATATAAGTCTAAGAAGTGTTAGACAAGTGTTTTAAATTTATACATATATTGAGTAC